TCAAAATTTGAATCAGTATTTTAATGGTTTCTGAACAAGTTCTATTAAGGTTAGTTTAGTTGCTTATTTGCTTTCCCCCCTTAAACTTTTCTCTCAAACACAAAGCCTTTGTAAAAAGAAGACATCTGCAAATCAAAACGTCTTGTTAAATTAAATGAATGATCCTATTGATGAAAAAATTAAGCCATTTTCATTTTGCATATGCCACATTAATCTTGAGAAACCCCTTCATGAAATAGGTCAGTGGTTGTTTCTCAGACGTTTAACCACAAACACAAAGAGGAAGCGACAAAATGCCCTCCCGTATTGACAGCAGACAGACTGTGGCATCTTGAACAGACATACCAGTCAGAACCCTGTGCTTGATTTTAAATGTTGAAGCTGGGACAAGTCAGGGCATGCGTTGGGACAGAGGATCACACATAAATTACCACACAAAGTAATCTCAGGAGGGTTCATACACTAGGTGGAGACGTTGAGTCATCTACTTCTATTGATTCTTACTTTTAACTTGGAATTTACCCTTTAAATCAGCCAAAACTAACGATTTTTTTTTACAAAACACACCTCTAACATTTACTTCATATCACCTCTGTCAATGTTACTTTATTTATTTCCCTATGAGTCTGATATTTCATCTCTAAAAATATGTGTAGTTAAACAGTACAAATTGAGATTTCTTGAAAATCAAAATAATTATGCATTGGTTAAAAAGATAATGAATCATATTTTAAGTAGCTCTTCTTAAAAATAATTTATTCATCATTATTCTGAGTTTGATTCAGTTTGATTTCTAAAATCCAAAATAACCGTTCCTGAAATACCTTCACAAAATAATCCCCTTTACTTTTAGAAACTGTATCGTTATCTCCCAAAGATGCTAAATCTTTTACGTGAGATCACCACATGTGAAATATACTTTAGAAACAAAGGGGCTGCCAAAATACAACAGCTGGCAAAGCCTGAGGGGGAGGGCAGGGATAGCTCCATGGCAGATTTTTAAAAATGTGACCAGATTTGAGGACAGTGCTCCTCCAAGGCCACCTTGGTGTCAGCCGGGTGACCGTAACCCTGTCAAGAGGGCCATTAACTTTCTCCTGTGGAATCTGCCTCAGTGGCAAAGGCCGTAAACCACAGGCCTGATGCCATGAAACTGAAGAAGCTGCTGAAAAGCCAAACCTGGCCTCAGACATACGTCCTGCAGACAAGCGGCGAGGATCAACGGGGACCTCGTGGCACCCGGACCCTGTGATATTTGATCAGGCTTGACACGTCTGCGTTCGTCTGCCCACCCTCACCTCCTGTGTCTGCACACACCCAAACGGCTCACACCCAGCCCAGGGGATAAGTGGTCCCTGGCTATTAATACACTGAAAAGACGGAAGCCTGGTGAGAGCCAAAAATGAGCAGTCAAACGGAAGAGGAAGGTGAAAGAAGAAGGTGTGTGTGACTTCAACATAAATAATAAGCACCTTCTAATAGGGTGTCAGAGTCGTGAGGGCTCTCATTTGTCTTTGAAAATAACCACCTTAAGATTTGTCCCAATGTTTCATAACATTCAGTAGTTTTACAACCATGTCCCACTCTTCTATATAAATGCACCCGTCTGTCTTTTGTGCCTCTCCCTGTCACCCTCTCTGATTCTCAACAGGTGCAAGGAGGAGTGTTCACAGAAACACACTCCATGCCCGGGGCCTTCTCCAACCTCGCCTTTCCCCTTCCACAACCTGTGGCCAAGGCATGCAGAACATTTCCTTCTGTTCAAGTAACTGCAGCGTCTTCAATTCTGGGAGCAAATATAGCCTGTCATTTATGTGAAAGTTGAAGCTCGGGAGCTCCCAAACAATCCACGGACACAGCCAATAACACGGCCAGTATTCCTGCTTTCAACCTTTAATCAGTGAGCAGGAACTAACCAAGGAAATTCCCTGCTCTTTCATTCAGCAAAAACAATCTTGATACTTTGTGGCAAGTAGTTACAGGTTTAAACATTTAAAAATGCATTAAAGTGACTTCCCCCATTACCTCAGCCAACAAAAGACCACATTTTGGCAGAAAACACGGTGACTGTCAGATTCCCTTTGGAAATTATGGATTCAGTTTTGTTTTTAACATGTAAAAGTAGGTAAATGGTATCTTATACCACTTTTTTTGTGACACACCTGTCATTATTGGCAACATTTGCTGTACTTCTTGAGAATGAATTTAAAGGACATTTATGGTCATTTTCCATTAGGACCCACTTAGTTTAAGGTGATTTTCCATTACAGGTGAGGCAAGAAGGTCCAAGAGACCAGTTACGTCATTTGTACGAGACACAAGCACGGGACAACAATTTAGGACATGGCAGCGAGGATACAAGGACAAAACCCTCGGCTGGGCTGCGGTGTTGGGTCAAGTAGTAAGCATTTTCAACCTTCATTATCACAAAAATGATTAAGTCGCACGTTTTGTTGTCGCGTTTTTCAAATAGGCGGTTTCTAATGAAAGAGCCGCTTTCGGAAGTCATCTAATCACGTGACTCTTTAGTTAATCAGTGCACTGCAGTCTGTCCCCGGTCTGCTTAGCTTGCATATAACAGGGTTGGTACTAAAATCATTACTGTTAGTAGGCCTGGCTTCCAAGGCTTACCAATGCAAACGAAAAAAAAGGCATAGTGGAGTCCAACCAGTTGTGCTGAGTAGGAAGGATGGTCGCGGAAAAGTGACCGAGCAGAGATCAGAGAAGTGCCTGAACTGAATTACAAAAAAGCGTCAGATGCCACGTTAACAATAGCAGTTGTGGTTTTGGAGGGAGACCTGATGTTTAAAGTTTGGTGGCAAGGCTGTGCTCGCGTTCCTCCTTTCATTCGCTAATGAGAATGATAATTTGTGGCTCCTCTGATGACCCCGACCCCTTCAATAGTGACTTCTCCCAGGGGACGTGATCGCGCAGATCCCCGAGGGACGTCCAGACCTCTTTAGGAATGCTTTTTATCACTAAAGAGCAATTCCCGCCTGTTTTGGTTTTATATAGTGGCTGGAAACTTTATGTTGTGCTTGTAGTTTAGAGATGTGGGTATAGTGGGAGAGAGCAGTTCAGTTTTAAGGATGGGATTGTTTCGTTCCAGAACACGGACCTTGTGTTTCGCACTTTATGTTGGAATTGCCATCTTTGGTCTAAAAAAAAAAGCATCTCAGTTCAACTTGACAAAACGAAATCTGTCATACGTGCATTCCTTTATCTCCCATCTTCCAATATATGCAGGCTGAGCATGAACATTTGCAGATCTCTGCAGTATGATGCCACTAAAACGCAGTGGCCTCTCCCAGAGCCGTGCGCACGGTCGAATCCAAGTCTCCCTCAATCCTTCATGTTTACATCGGAGCAGGCGCCCTTCTTGGCGTCCACGCGTGCGTGCGTTCGCCTCCTCACCTCCGCAGAGCGGCTGCACGACCCGGCCTGCCAGCGGGGATTTACTGACTGGCGCTCTGCCCGGCCGCAGGCAGACTAGTTCGCTCAGTTCTCACGACCTCAGCCTCACAGAGGCATCTCTGAGCTATTAACTCAGACGCGAAGGCAGAAGGAACAACCGCAGAACCCACACACGCTGCCAACTTGTGTTTCACTTTGCCTCCGCGCGGAGGGAAGCTGCCGAGGCATCACAGAGAGTGGGGTTTCGCTTTGCCATTTGCTGGCGGAGTCATCTGCAGGGCACCGGCGGTCTGGAGGGTGAAAGCTAGAACGCAAGTACACGATTCAACAAGGAGTCCCAACTGTAAAAAGAAAAGAAAAAAAAGGACTGATACCAGGAGTTGTACCAGTGAAAAACACCCAAAGTCACCTATGCAGTCTGTTATTGAACAAAGAAAAATAAATCCAAGTTTTTATTCACCTTATTGAATCTTTTCCTTGGTTCTTTTTTTCTTATTATTTGCCCCATATACTTTTGATTAAAGAGCACGAGCATTCCTAAAATAAAGATAAAGATTCATATTTTTACATGTTGGAAAATGGAGATATGACGGGATATTTGTTAACTTAGTTTTAACTTGGAGCTTGAATATTTTGAACTTTTGAAATCAGGTGTAATTTCTTTTGCTTTGGACGTGCTGGTGTTCGGGTTAGAGCCCTTTAAAGCCTCTGTGTGTAGGCCTGTGCCAGCCATGCGCACCGAAGGCGCGCCGGTGGAGTATTAAATGTTAAGAGGTTTTGACCAGCGGACTCCAGGCTGTAACCTTATCCCGAGGACGGGGGCCTGCTCACCGCAGTGGGTGACGCAGAAACACGGGCTTCGGTTCCCACCCAACTAACGGGGGGCAGATTTACACACAGATAGCAAGTGGGACCTTTAACATAACGTGTTTAGAGCCTTGGGGAAGAGACGCCTGAACAGGTTTAAGACATACTAAACAGACTCAGGATCTTAGGAAGCTTTGGGTGTTAATTAAGTCTGAAATGTTCCAAAACCTGCAGCAAGTTTTTGCTTTCTTAAATGATCCGAGAAAAAAAAAAGTTGAAGTTCCGTCGTTCCCTCCTTTATGGGTGTAGGCCCACTGGGAGTGGGATCGAACAATTGATGCACAAAAGAAAGCGAGGATCCTTCCATATTCTCCTTTCACTGAGGCAATCTGTTAGTGACATTAACCCCTGAGCGCATTTCCCAGGCTCATGAATAGGGTTTAAGACTTCTTAAAGCTCCCGCTGCATACAGGATGAGACCCCTTTCAAACTTTTAATTACCTTTATAGCAATAGAAAAGTACACCCCCATTGTCCCAAGGACCATTTTCCAAAAGACCCAGATGTGAGGAGCTCCCGCCAAACTGGTGACAAGGTGCCCACTCCAGACCTGTGAGGCAGGGCCTTAAATTGGGATCATAACAGATACGTTGTATCTTTGGAGTTTTTTTTTTAAGTGACTTTGACGCATTAACTTTGACGCACACAATAAAAGGAAAAAAAGAGAAATGGCACGAATTTAACATGTAACACAGCGAGCACAGGGCAGGAACAGACGGATTCATTTCAGAAATCTTATTTATTAAAACAATGGGGTTTCCACCCAACTTCAGTATTTCCTTTCAACACAAAATGCAGTATATAAATCACAGCTTTGGTATAACAATCGATAACACCTCTGTACAAAACTAAACCTTTTCATAAAAAGTACTTCATAACAAAAGTTTCCTATAAATCTTTCATCTGTGTCTTTATCATCGACATCCAAATGTTGGAATCAACAATAAATTATTAGAAGAGAGGGGGCGAAAACAAACAAACCAAAAATAAAAGTATAGCAACACTGTTCCATAAAACGAAACATTGAAAACTGGGTGGGTGGGGGGGGGGGCATAAAGTGGTTAGTTACCATCCCGTAGCGGAAAAGTCGCAGGCTGAGCCCCCCGCAACAGCTGCGTGTGCAGTCCGTTAAAGGTCTAAACTGGCAAAAAGACGCTTAAGTGGATTGACGCGAGTCTCTCTGGCCCCGTGGAGCTACCAGGGCCGCCACACCGGCTCGTTGCTCTCGGGGCCGGTGCTGACCCCCACGGGGCTGACCGCCTGGGACCCCCCGGAGAAGGAGGTCATGCCGTGGACCGGGGACGCCGCCGCGGTGGGTGCCGAGCTCCCGTGCACCGGGCTGGCGTTGACCGCCACGGGGACCCCCGCGTTCGCGTAGAGGGGGATGACCGGGGCCGGGGCCGAGGCGGCGAAGGCCGGGTTGGGGATGAGGAAGGCGAACTGTCCGTCGCTGGCGGGCACCAGCTGAAAGCCGCCGAAGACCTTGGGCGACACGGCCTCGGCCGGGCTGAGCTTGGAGCTCATGGGCAGCGCCCCGCTGATGGGCAGCGTGGAGGGCAGCTGCACGTGCAGGGGCTGGGCCAGGTGCGCCTGCGGGGGCGCGCCCTGCTGCGGGTAGTTCAGGGACATCATCTGGCCCATGCAGCTGGACAGGTGGTTGAGGAGCCTGGACCTCACCTCCGCGTTCACCCCCTCCGAGGTGGACAGGAAGCGCGTGACCTCGTTCATGCACTCGTTGAAGCCCGCTCTGTATTTGCTCAGAACCGTGGCGTCAGCTGAGAGCGCTGCTGGGCGAGAGAGAGAGAGAGAGAATTCGGGCCATTAATGACAGCTTCTTTTCTTTCTTCTTTTTTTTTTCTTGAGAGTCCCTTTGCGGTCTCTTGGTTTTAATTAAGTCTGCTGACCCCAGACCGTGTTCTTAAATGAACTTACCGCTCATCTGCACGCGCTGCAGGTTCCTCAGGTGCTTCACAGTCATCTCCAATATGTCTGCTTTTTCCAGTTTAGAATGCCTGGAACTCTGCGAGGGGGGAAGAAAAAACGTGAAAAGTTTAGTCCCAATTCAGGTGCATGTGACAAAACTTCTTATTTAGAGTGCAGACTTCCAGAAAACGTTTTATTTGGGACACAACTTACATCTTTCTTCAGGGCGTCTAGGATGAGGGTCTTGAGCTGGCCCAGGCTTTCGTTTATTCTTGCTCTCCGGCGTTTTTCCATGATGGGTTTGGACGACTGTGAAAAACGAAGCAAATGCAACAATTGCACGTCAGTATTCTGTTTACGTCTTGACTGACCTCACATCAGGTCAATAAACGAACCGAGCTGGTGGATGACACCACACACAGTGCTCAGGATGCTTACTTTTCTGTGCTCGCTGGCGTTTTTGGGCTTGTCCGGTGTGTGGGATCCGTTAGCGGGGGCTCCGGCAATAGGAGAAGCCGTCTGCTTCTCCATAGTGTCAGCTGGCATTGTGGATCAAAATCGGGTGACCAAAACCAAAAAGAAGAAAATGTCAAGAAAGTATATCCTCTTATTCGGAGAGAGACCGAATGGCTCGGTGCCTCCGCAGGACACAGAAGATGCGCCTGGCTGTCGCGTCCCCCACGAGGAAGTGTCTGTCGTGCCGCTTGTTGTCAACCGAGCTGTCACGCGAGTCCCGGAGCGTGCGGTGCGCCGGGCAGACGTGCTCTGTGCTTCTGCCGCCGACACACGCCGCCGGGCTACTTATAGACGGCCCGCCTGCTCCCGGTTCGTGTGAAACCCTCTCTGCATTCTTTCCCACACTCGCCTCAGCCAATGGCGCGCGGGGCTCACCCATCGGGCGCGGGGCGGACCGCTGATTGGACAACACCCCCGCGCGCCGTCAGTCACGCGCTGCTCAATCAGCCCTACAGAGACAAACAACAAAGCGGAGCGAGCGAAGAAGGGCATTAGCTGTGGCCGGTGCCGTGGCCGGTGCCGGTGCCGGTGCCCAGGGCCCGGCTAGCTTAGAAGGGGGGAATGAGCTGGATGTTTGCCTCTAACTTTGCTAGTTGCTTGTCAAAACAAAAATGTCGCCGGGCTTCGTATGAGTGTGTGTTGGTGAGACGACGGGAAGAATGTGGAGTCTGTGAGCTCCTGGCCAACACGCGTGCCCGTGTACGTGTGTTTTTATTCTCAGGAAAATATAGGAACACTGCATTTGTAACATTCTTTATGACTTTATGATTCTTTGAACGAGGGGTTTGGGGGATAGCCGTCACAGGCGTGCGATAAAAGTCAGATAAACTTCATATTTACCCCTCCCCAGACTTGAAAGCAAATACACTCTATTTTAAGACTCCTCTCGCGCCTCCGAGGGGAAGCGTCTGTACTGGCACGCGAGGCGGTCCGCAGCGGCACGCACCGGGCCAATGGCGTGCGGCCACTTTATGCAAATACAGTAGCGCGCTGTCTGATTGGCTGGGCCGCAAGCCCTGTGTCAATCATCCCGGAGCGGGAGCTGCTCAGAGGGGGTGAGGAGGAGAAGGAGGAAGAGGAGAAGTGGGGGGGGTTGCACATCTGTCCGCGTGCCATTCGCTGACTGTCTTCGCCGGTTGACGCTACGCACGTGCCAAAACGTGCAGATTAAAGTTTACAGGCCAAGAAGCAGCACACAGAGGCTGATAATCAAGAAACGTTACATTTGGTGGAAAAGGACAAGATTTGACGGAATAAGAGAAGCTAAGAAAAGGGGGGTGGATTTACAAATCAGAGCATTGTTGAAAGAAAATATCAAATAAAGTACAGCCTAACACATTTTGTATAGCCCACACAAAAATGTGGGGAAGAGGGCATTCGATGTGGACGCCAGAGATCTTTAAACCAACACCTTGACATGCCCCCCCCCCTCCCCCCTCACCTCACCCCCCATCAGAGTGCATGTGAGGGAGGGAGGAGGGCACCATCTAGTGAGTCATATGTGAAACTAGGCTACTGAAAGAACAGATCTCTGGTTATTTAAATGATCTGTGGTTGAAGTATCTCAGCTGTTAAAACTCCCATATTTGATTCAAGCGTGCATATCAGGCTTTTGGATACTTTAGAAGAGCCTTGGAGACAGGCGTATATGTGCCACGGGTAACCTCTCTTAGGTGTATTTGATTTAATTGTATATATATTTTATAGGATATTTATTGATAAACTTGATAATCCTGTGATTTGAATGCGTTTCTTTTTCTAAGAGGAGGCAGATATGGACTCAGAACAGGACATTAGCCTGTCTTTCTACATTCTCCCTTTCCTGAAAAGACCACCAGGTGGCACATCCCTGTCTTTATGACCAAAATCTGTAAAAAGTAAAAACAAAATCGATCCTTTTTATTGTCCTGCACATAGATTAATGTCTATCATAATTATGAATTGAATGGTTACAAAAAAGTATGAATAATTCTTTACAAACAAAGTCACTCAGATGTATAGTATTGAAACGAGTACAAGTTACACTTACAAATGTGCAGGATTTAAACAGACAAAAGTTGAAAATGGAAACATTATCAAATAAACAGTTTTTCCAAGAAGAGTCTGAATTTTTAGATTGCTTTCAAAGAAGTTTGTAGGATGCTGATTTTTTTCTTTTTTTAAATGGATAAAATCTGACAGGGTGTGTTTCTACTCTACTCAGGATTACAGAGAGGAAGCAAAAAGAAAGATACTGAGCATTAAGATTAGTAACTTTTTAAGACTTAGGATAAAAGACAAGTGAAAAACAATTTATTAGCGTATTTAAATAAAAAAAATTGCTCAAAGTCAACATAAAAAAAAGACTTTCCATTCAGCTATTTTCTATACTGCATATTTCCAAGGGGTCACGGGGTGCTGGAGCCGATCCCAGCTGACAACAGGCGAGAAGCGGGGTGCATTCTGGACAGGTGGCCGGTCCTATGCAGGGCCACACAGAGACAAGCAACCACACACACTTACATTTAAACAAGACTGTATTGATTTAATTGAATTGATTCATTTTGAAATATTTTAACAATCGCATGCTCACATAACTTATCAAAATAATGGGGGGGTGAATGAAAAGTTGGAAAAGAACGTAATGCTAAGAAATATGCTATTAAAAATGTTACATCTTGTTAAATGGTTTTGAAACAAGTTAGGGGAAAAATACTGCCAGCAAGAAAACATATCCACAAAAGCCTGAATCATCAAGGAGAATATAAAACTAGTGTTATTTCTAATGAAAATAAATTATATTCAAGATTTGTAGAACAATTACTAAGTCCCCCAACTTTTTGTGAAATTTAAAGAAGTTTAACATTTAAGGTTATCAGCAGTGGAAATGATCTCTCATTCATAGTCTTTTTAATTAGTGAATGAGGTTTATAAATGTCATTTGGGGTTGTTTTTATGGTGAAAAATTGGGACGAGATCAAAATTGTAACAAGATCAATCTGAAAAGACATTCACCACAGTTGCTTGTCATTTTTAAATCTACAATCATGACAGATTAAAAATTACAAGGGCGCATTTCCGTGTTAACTCAGTGGGCCTCCTGCAACAATAGAGGCATTACAGATTCCAAGGAGGCAAAGAAGTCATAGTAATCTTCAAACCTATGACAAAGTCTGTGATCCTTTCCTGGTCGGCCGTCTTTTGCAACAAGCCAGAAGTAATAAAACCTTGCTAAGCCTTGCATCAGTCCTGTCTCTGGTGGGGTAAAAGTCATTGTTCAGTTGCTTATGTTCCCCCATGGGTGAGCTGCACGAGGGCATGCCGGACACTTGTTTGCCCAGGATCCTGAGTCTCAAGGGCCAGCTGTGTGTGCTTGGGCTCACATCCCTCCTGTTTGCTTTTGGATCGACCCAAATGAAGCAGAGCTAATTCTACAGATTGCCGCAGACTGCTTTTCTTTGCAGTTAATGGGTTTTTGATTTAATAATTCTGTATAGGCGGAGACGCACCTGTTGAACCCAATCTGAATCAGTATAACAACTAAGAATAAGTCTAACAACTCATGGTACTTCTAACCCCGAATAATTCCCCTTCTTCCCTCTTGCATTTCAAAGATATGGGCTCACAAAACAAAGACAAGAATTCCTATTCAATTGAAAGGAACTTTTTGTGTGACTCCATCATAAAAGCACAATTAGAGCTGCTGTGGGCATCACTGGGCCAAGGAATGTGAAGATCAGAAACGGCTGATGATCAACATTCACCAGACAAGAGTCAGAAGTACTTGCTTTTGACTTGGCTTTATGAGGCCGGGCTCTGCAGCAGGAGATGTCGGGGAGATGAAAGTGTCCCGAAGCTGTGTTTGCAGATTTAGCAGATTTCAGTCATCTGTTATCCACATTCTCCCTGAGCTCAGCGGCTCCTTTTGACTGCTGCCCGCTTAATTTGTTGTTGTACAATGAGACCATGCACTTCTCTAAATCCATGTGCAGAATGCAGACCCAGAGTCAATTATATCTGTATTAACTGGTGTTGGCCGGGCAATCCCTTTATACACACTCCCAAATCAAGTATTTACAACAATGACTCCTCCACTCTGAGCGGTCACAATGCTGGGTGGCTTTCGCTTTGTTTCCCTAGCTGCAGCCATTTTTGAGCGGAAACACGGAAAAGTAACAAAACAGGATACCACTGGACCACAGGAATCAGCACTTTGGTGAACACTCGCTTCGTTTTCTGCGTGAGCTGGCAGCTTTATTCAACTTGATGTTTGAAGAGAATATACATGCCACCCAAGAGTATCTTCACTTAGTTTAATCAGTTTTCAGCATGAAGAAAAATCTTTATTTTGGTTATTTTATTTAACCATTGTGATCCAATTGGACTGAGAGATCTCTTTTCCAAGAGAGCCCTGATCAAGACAAAGGAGCTAAAACAACCTATAAACATAAGGTAATTCTCAAAAGTGATAACTATGATACTATCATTATTCCATTAATGGCCTTATGGGAATTTTTTTTTTAAAACATTTTAGTGTAGAACACAACATAGAGCCTATCTTAAGCCACAAAGATGTCTTAATAAAATAATGCTGGTCAGATGACTGTTCTGGGCAACTGTATTTTTACTAAGTGTAATTTAATTGTAGAAAAGCATAACATGAAGTATTTGTTGTAAACGTGTATACACACACACACACACACACACACACACACACACACACATACATACATACATATATATGTATATATATATGTATAGTTAGGGTTAGGTATTTATTTAGTTTGTCACATTAATTTTATTTAAGATATTTGAAAAATATTATTTAAACAATCTAATGCTCAGAAAATATGTTTGCATAACATTGTGTTGGTTATGCACAGCTGAAAATTCGAACAAATCTGAGATATTCTAAAGCATCATTTTCGCCAGCCTTACTCATTCATCCCCACGGATGTGGCATCCTGTATGGAAGACTTATCCAAAGCGATGCTGCATCCTTTAAAGACAGTGTCACAACTTACTTAAATTAAGAAACTTAATACTTCCTCCAGCGACTGTGCTGCTTCACGACAGTCTGGACACAATCATTTGATGTGCTGTTCCCAAAGTGGGGATGACAGCAGGACTTCAAAGGTCCTGTTAGTAGCAGTTAGTGCTGTGAAGCCTTTGAGTAAAGTAAAGCCAGAGTCCTCACACCAGCAGATCTAATCTCCTGAGTGAAAGGACTCCTGCAGCTGCTGCGTCCAGCTCCCAGTCTGACCAGAAGGATCTGCCGAATCT